CCAGTGCGTTGATCTCAGCCTAACTAAACCACACGCTAACACTTTCGTAGACTTGTCGGAGGATAAATACCACCTGAAGCTGCGACGCAACAAGCTCGTCCGACTTTGTGCCACCTGGCGCAAAGATCTTCCTGACCTAGGGCTCGATATGTCGACGATGCCGGCTTGGGGACCTTCCGCCACACAGCTCGCTAGGTGTCGGGTCGATGCGCATCAGGCTGCCCGAGGCGACGATCGACATTATGGGACAGGAGGGGCAGATGAGGACGACGATGGAGATGAGGCGGAAGCTGAGGGCGGCAGGGAGGAGGAAGATTTCGGAACACTAGAGGCTCTAGAGAGAGCAGACGTGTATCGCAACGAAGACCAGCTTTAATTTCTTGTATTCTGTACAATTATCTACATTTTTTACCCACTATTTCCTCTCCTCAAGCTTCAAGTCATTGCCGCCGTTTGGGGATCACCGAGTACGTCCCAAAAACAGTCTCATTGAGCAGGCACTGATGACCGGTGCAGACCTTGGAAAAGGAAACAGCAAGAACAATGCGCATGAGCGCCATCTTCACGAGGTATGTTTCATGACGGCCTCACTTTGAACGGACACTGATGACCAGCGGTGCAGGCCCCCAAAAGGAAACGCGAAGGACATTGTGCATGGGGACCAACCTCCAAGAAGGACCTCGTGCAGAACAATGCATTGGGTGTGGCCGATGGTGGAATGGTACATAAGGCTCGCAAGGTACGCCTGAACCGTTACTTTTTTTTGCCTTGCCACTGAACCCCCTCTATGCCTGCTCAACACCTCCGCACTGTTCCCGCTTATCGCCGCCGAGGGTCGTCATCCCTGCCGCCCTCGTCGCCCCTGCCCTCGTCCTCCCCTCGCAGGTCGCCTAGTCCGCCTCCACGTGCATCGTCCCCCGACTTCCCGGCCTATGTAATGCCGGGACCGGAGGTGGAGAAAGCCCTTCACAAGGAACAGGAGCCTAGGCGCAAACAACTCAACCGCGAGATCGTGCGCCTGCAGAAAAAACTAGGTAAGCCTTTTTTTTGCCTTTGCCCATGCATTGGTGTTCACAGTCGCCTTCAGCCAGCGCACCCGACAACGCCGTATTGAAGGCAAAGCTCCAACAATCCCGTGAGTTTTCTCTTGCTCATCTTCTCCCTTCCACTCATCTATCGCGCTAGTTGTGGACTACAAGGACAACTTCAGTACCTTCATGACGGACAAAGACTTTGTGGAGTTCACCACCGAACGCACTCGCCTGTGGAAGGCTAGAAAGATTGCTGGTACGTCTGCCTTTGCCATTCACGTCTTCTGGGTCTTGATTCTTTTGCTTTAGCAGAGACCGGCCTCCTCACCAGCGACTACCACCTTAACCCGGCGTATTGTGCCTACTACGACGGCCGCGAGGTCTTGCTCAAGAAATACGACATCAACATCGAGCCCAAGGATCGGTACAGCGAGACCATCGACCTAGGGCTCGAGGCGACCTTCTTCTTCCTTGGCCTCACGCGGCAGGGGAGTGGGGATCTGGACACCATGAAGCAGCTCGCGCTCAAGTCATTCACCGTCGACTTGTGCAACCCTTACCCGCAGGACAATAAACGGCAGGCACCCGTAGGTGTACCATAAAGCGTACGCTGTTGGCTGTAGCCTAAACATAACTTGTTTTCCTGCCCGGCTCTAGCCACCCCCCTAGCTGGCCTTACTCGCAGCATATTTTCACCCAACCCCAGGCGTAGATATGCCGGCTCCGTCCCGGGAGGATCATGCTGAGTGTTCTCACGATAGGATAAATGCTCAGTCTGATAGATCTTTGATTCTGGTGGTATTTACACAAGCGGACAAGCGGAAGTGGGTCAAAAATGTCCGAAAAAGGAAATTCACAAAATCTTCTCTACAGCATTGCAGCACTCATTCCTGTCTCCCCGCCCATTCGCCCACGTTTCCCGTGCCACCGCCCACAGCCGAGTTCCTCGGCGCTCATTCGGTCCCCCCGCCCGCGTTTCCTGCGCCTTTGCCCCCGCCCTTGCCCGCGTTCCCTGACGATCCAGCCTCGCCCTCACCCGCATTCCCAGACAACCCTGCCGACGACTCCATCCTCTCGAAGGTGTTTCCCTCCATGAAAAGGGTGTTCTCGCGAACCGCCAAACGCACCGCGGTTGCAGCGGATGTGTCCCACGCTGTCTTGAATTTACGTGAGATGTCGCGATGCAGGGCGGCCTGGCGTGCAGTGTATGCTTCAATGCCGGAAGCCAGCTCTCGTGACACCTTGCCGCGACTCCCACCACACCGAACGCCAGCGTAGAAAACGCAGCACCCGTTTCATCTCTTCACGTAAAAGCTCCACCTCCTCTTCCCACCTCTGGTTCCGCGCCTTTGCCTTCGACCATTCGACCCGTACCGACTCGTGTAGTTCCACCTCATCCTCCCCCGGACCACCACCGCCCGTCCAGATCCACGAGAATGTCTTGTTCTTGGATGAAAGTGCCGGGCCTTGGCGGCGAAACTTTGACCCCATATTGCCCAACTTCTTGCGCGCCTTGATGTCAACCTCGCACTCCTCATCTAGCTGAACGTCTGACGACTTGAGTTTGTGAAACTTCTCGCATGCGACCGACCCTCTCAAGGCGATCAGCGCACTGCGCGAGCGTCTGTACTTGGTGCTCATGGCGTCGACACGCTCCTCTATACGTCCAATCAATGTGTACGCCTGCATCGCAGCCCACTGCCCCACCACGCTCTTGTCACGGTAATTGAGGAGGTGGCGTTTGGCGTGCAGCCGGCTCCGTAGGACACGCAGGGAATCCCGAAGCTGACCCTCCCGCAGCTTGCCCTCCATGACGGGGAGCCCTTTATAGTAACCGTCCGCCCTATCCGCCTGCCGCAGCCCCGACGGTAAGTACAGCTTGACGTCCTCCGCGCTTGGCGGCGGCAGCTTGGGGTCACGGGTGCCCTCCTCCTCCTCCAGTTGCCGCACCGCAGAAGACATGTAGACCGCCTGCAGTTTGCGCCAACGCCCCAACTTGGAGAAGAAGGCGACGTGCATGTCCTGCACGCGCTGCTGCTGGTCCGCCTGCAGTAGTGTACGCCCGTGCGCCTCGCGCTTGATTCGTTGTCTGCAAAGCAATCATTAGTCTTTTTCGTTCGTACACAGTTAGTTTGGAAAGAACGCACTGCGCCTCCTCTAACTGCAGTCCGGCAACGATGAAGGAAGTCACACTGGACCCATGTAATTTGGCCTCGCCCGTAGACTCCTCCTGCGCCTCGTCTTGTGTGAGCAAGAGGTGTATTGCGGCCCCGGAAGGTTTACCTGCTCGGTCGTAAGTCAGCGCGCGGCCAGCAAATCCACCCTGAAGCTTACCGTCTCGACCTCCCGCAATTAGATATGGGTTTGGCTTTGTCCGATCCTCCTTCCAAGCGTTGATCTTCTGTTGCCATTGCTTTCTGACCTTGCTACTGAGAGTTCAATTGACCTCCTTGAATGCCTCGACCCGGCGGTCGCGCTCGTTGATGGCCAGTATTAACTTCCGTGGTAGAATGGTCCCTGCGTTCCGGTGAGTGAGTCAGAGATACTCGTTCGTCCCCGTGATCCACGAACCTTGCTTGATATTCTTCTCAAAATTATGGTGGTCAATTTTGTCCTCCATAGCGTTGTGGCGGGCACCAGCCGCCATTTCCTTCGTCGCCCACGCGATGGGGTTTAAAACCGACCATGTCCGCTCAATCCCCTCCCCGTCAGTTCTTCCGACGCCTTTCAGGTACGTGAGCGAGTTCTCGTTCTGGCAGGAGACCTTATGCACTGTGATGCGGACTGTGGTTCTGTGAACTGCCTGACCCGGGGTGGGTATAGTCAAATAGTGTTTACAGAATTTAATTCGTCCTCTAGGAGGAAATTGCTCTGTCGCGGAGCTGCATAGTTAAAAGCATGCTAATACGCGTTTATATAAATTGTAGTGTGTGTGTGTGTTTACAGTTCTCTCCATTTGGATTGAACGCTTTGCCAGGTTCCTTGAAGATTTGGTTCTTCGTTGGGGGCTGGCCTTCCGAAGGGACCACGGATGGATAGTTTTCTACACTTGCTCGAAGGGTTCGCTCCGCAATGTGAATGCTGTCCTGTTCCAGAGTACTCGGGTTATCTGTTATGCTTATCCACCCATCTCGAGCGTATCGGACGGCAGGTCTCTTCAGTACAGTGTGACACTATATGGACGGCTATAGCGATTCCCTTCATAGCCTGGTTTCTCCGTTGTGAACGCCTTGAAACGGAGTCGCTTCCGTTTCGAAGACTCGGGGGTGAAGTGTGTGAATTGAATAGGGGAAATGGTATGATCGTGTAGGATAGGCCTTCCGTGTACGATGGGGTGGGTTCCTCGCAAGGATATGTGTTCGAACTCCGAAAAGGAACGGTTGCACGAAGCCAAGTTAGGCGACTGGCCGTTTGGTGGTGTGCCGCATAATCTACTACCGCGCGCTTTCAACTCCGGATTGACTATATTTCCCCCGTATCGATTTATCGAAACGGAGGTGAGACGGACAGGGTTTCTTGACAAGCCCCAGCCTTTTAGGTAACCTTGGTTTGTCCTACTATTGGGCGGCACGTCCCGTAGCGGAGTGTATTTAATTTAGTTCCCCACCCTGGTGTACTTCAGGGGGAGTAGCTTTAGGTATATGCAGTGGGAGGTAATAAGATAATCATTCCGTATTGTACAGCTGGCTTTTATACCGTCCTCTGTCCGATACTCGCGCGCGTACTTATACCTTTAATTGGAAACGGATGTTCCGCCTTTTCAATTCTGACTCGCCTCTGTGATCGCCCACGCGTTCCCAACTCTGAAGGGGTTAGAAATTGACTCGGAGCAGCCTCCTGTTGCCTCCGTTTCCCGTTTCGGTCGCCCGTTTCCCAAGAACCACCCACATTCTCCGTTTAGTCGCTCCGTTTCCCATACCGCAACCACTCCGTCTTCGTTTGCTCCCTCTTTTCCTTTCCCTTAGCACAGGCCAGATAGCGCAACGGTAGCGCGCGCGCGCCCTTTGTATATGTTGTCCAATGTATGCTCGCGAGGTCTTCGTTCGATTCGAAGTCTGGCCATGATACACCATCACGGAAATGCTTTTGCCAGTAACATTTTTGAGTGAGTGCTCACCGAGCTTTTTGAGTGACCGCGCATTGCCAGACCAGGTAGCGCTAGAACCAATAATTTGTCTTCTTGCTTGCAAGTCCGTTCCATTCGGAGTTGGTCCGTCTCCGTTCTCTCGTCCGTTTGTCGAGGCTCCCTTAATCACGGCCAGGTGGCGGAATGGTTAACACATGCGAGATGAATACAGACATACTCGCAAGGTCTTTGTTCGATTCGGAGTCTGGCCTTTTTTATTTGGAGGTGCGATCGCTTGTCATTTTCTTGGATACAGAGTCGCCATCTTGAAAGTATGATTTTCCTCCCGTTCGGCCGCGTTCGGAGCGCATCACAAAGTGACAGCTCACATCTCCTCCCCACTTTTGAATGCCGACCGTCCCCGGTTGGCGACATTATAAATAACGGAGGTTCAGTGGTTGAAAACCTCAATCCTCGTTTATCGCATGGACGCTTCTGCCATTGGACGGTTCCATTCCACCGTTGCCGTGCTACCTGCCGAGAGCATGGATGTCCCCGCCGGAGGACTCGCTCGATTCCTCCAGCAGAACCTCCGCTTCAAAGTGTTCCTGGTCGCGATTTCGGTCCTCGAGGATCGTTGGGCCACCCGTACACGGAACTCCCTCACCGCCCGAGATCTGCACGAGGTGCGTGTGTGCGTCCGAATCATAGTAGACCATATGGTTTGTGGTTCCACCAAGTCCGTTTCGAGTAGATGTTGAAATTAAATCCGTTTGTAGTACTACGCCGCGCGCATCCGGCAGAACGAGTTCGTCGCAACTTTAGTCGTCACAACACTCCTACGCAAGCGTCGTGGATGTTTTATCTCATCGGCGTGTTGCTGTATTCCGTGGGATTCGATGGTGACGAAGTCCCGGACATCCATGGGGTCAACGTATTCTCGCCGTTTCGCAGGCGGAATTCTTCTTGAAGGAGTGCACGGAAACGGTTGCGCTCTTCCGTGTCTCCAAACAAGCTATTTTTCTGGATTACGAGGAGTACGACCCGCATCGCACGGTCGAAGTAATCTTCGTTTCGCGCCAACCGCCTCGCAACTTCAAACGGATTACTGTCAATGACAACCCCGTTTTGGACTTTTCGACCAAGGAAATATGTAGCCCTGCGTGGACGGACGCGCAGCGAGTTGTAGAAGCGACCCTACTCGCACTCTCCCGCGTTGATGGCGCGTTACTGGTCGAAACGGATTCGGATGGCAAGGTGGTGGGCGTACAAAAGGAAAGCGTTGACGGACTGCTTGCAGATATGGTAGAGTCTCCGCCTGAACGTGGCCATCTGGCTGACTGTTTACAAGGCGGGGGTGGAGGCGGTTTTGCCGAAGCGTTAGCCCTACTTTGTGTTCGGATGAAGAAGCCTGCGGCCGTGAGTTTTCTGAGTGGAGCGTTGTGATGCTTTCTTCAACGGAGATGCGGAGGGTGCATTCTGATCTTCTGGATTCTCCCGTATAAATAGACGTGCTTGTATGCTGCCGAATTCCATTTCCTGTCCGTACGCCCTCTCCGGATTCCTATACTCGCCCGTAATGTCCAACATTTATCGTCTCCCGCGTATTGCTCTCGACTCGAACTTCTATGGTGTCGAAGACGCGTGCAAACTCGTGAACGAGTACGCCCTCGATACCGCGCTCCGTTTTGAGCCAGGCAGCGCGACTCGGGATAAACTCGACGATGTTATGGAACGCTATATCCGCCCGTCCGTCCACCTCCTTGATTGCGCCCTCCGGCCTGCCAATACTGGATGGCTGCGCCGCCACGAACTGACCATGCTCGAATTGATTCTCATGCACGATGCTATCTCGAATATCATGGGATTCTTGGTGGGTCCGCCGCTGTTTTTTAAACATACGAGTTGGCTACTAACGACCATGCCGCGTTGCAGTTCCGTTTGCTCGATGATGGTGGCCAACTTCCCACAGACATCCCCATAGAGGATCGATGGAACGCGCCGCTACCTACCGAGCCTGCCACGCGCTTTCAATTAGGCAAGGGCAAGCCACGCTGGTCTCAAACTAAGTAAAGTAAAAAGAAATCAATCTCTCTCTCTTATAGTATAAAATTGTGCATGTCTTGAGCCTTTGACGCTCAGACACCGCTGCTCCACAGCTGTATTTTCAGCCTTAACAGCTTTATCAACAGGTCTCAACAGCTCTCATGCCTCTTGAGCATTCCCTGAACTCAAGTGGTGGGGCGCAAAGCTGTGCTCTTGTAGCACATAAGTTTATTTGAATGTTGGCGGCCGGAGGCGGAGGCCCGCTTCAATTATCAATAGATGGAGTGTCCATGCGAAAGCCAAAAGAAAATCATCGCACCCAAGTGTTGGAATCGAGTCGAGCTGTAGTGTAGCGTGCCGGGCCCGGGAAGTTGTAGCCTAGCTTGAATTGCCGTCTAACATTGGTTCCCTGACCTGCTAACCTCTCCACAGTGGATAATTCTAATAATATGTGGCACTCCGAGCGCGCGCGCGTCACGCTCAGTACAATCGAAGGCACCGTGCGCGCGAAGGAGGATGTGCGTCGGGCGTCGCGTTCCGACGCGTCGCAAATGATCATGAAGGGACTAAGTGGCTCCAAGGCCCAGATTCGCGCGTTCGCAAATGAATGGCCCGGGTTCGGGGTTCGGGTTCGATCGCAATTTCGAACGTCCGTAAATAAATATCGTGGCCAGCCGTCGAACCGATATATCTCTTGATCCAAGTGTGGCCAACGTACGGCACGGCGCGGGGTTCAATTCTAGTGTGGCGAGTCGTGAGCCCGTTGAAATAATCTTGATACGCGTCGCGTCGCGAATCGACGGCGTTCGGGTGGCCGACCTAACCGCACACAACGCCGTTGATAAGTAGTGTGGCCAACCAACCCAGGTCTGAGCGAATCCTCGGGGGTTGCGATTATGCGAGGGGCGGGGGTGGTTTGAACGCCGTTGTATAAATGCGTACGTGCAGAGGCCCTATGTTCGGCGCGTTGAAATAATCTTTATCTCACTACTAGTGTGGCCGCGTCGACGGCGTTCGGGATATTGCGCTTGACCACCCGGAAACAACGCCGTTGCTAAGTGGTGTGGTCAACAACCCGGCGATTGTACATGTGCGATGGCAGGGGCGGTTCGAACGCCGTTGTATACGTACCTAGGATGCCCCACTTTCGGAGTGTGGCGCACTACATCGATACCCTATCGGATTTCCTCCAACCGTCGAACAATAAAGTCTTCGAAGGAACCCCAATACATCGGATAGTCAGCCCAGATTTCGTACAACAGTCACCGTCGAAGAATGCCGCCTCGAGGACGAAGGGAGGAAGGAACCCCAATTCGCTTCGCGTTCCCTATTCAAGCCGACAATGTCAGCTTTGTGGCCACACTGCACACTGCACGGCGAACAAAATTCGATTTGATCTCGCCGAACTTGGATTCGAGGGTTCAAGTGGTGGGTCCATGCACGAGGGTTGATTTTGAACCTCGATTGGGCGGACAATAGACGATAGACGATAGATGATAGACATCGCCCCGACTCTATACGAGATCCTGTACGCGTCGCTTGCAGCAGGCAGGCAGGCCAATGTGATCATGATGATCGCAGGCCATGGTTGTGGGTCCACACAAGTACGTGTTATGGGCACGTTTTGATTTTCTGATTGCTGATTTGTTGAGTGCTTCTGTGTGAGGCGGGCGGAGGTGTGGGAATTTTTAGGCCTTGCTTGCCCGGAGTTCCATTATTGTAGCGAGCCGGGGGTGTCGAGCTTCGAGGCGAATAAAATAAAGAAAATGCTGTCTCGACGACAACTCGACGAGCATCGCAACACGTATTTTCCTTCCGAAGCGCGCAGACGCGTCGGAGTCGGAGCGGAACGGGGAGGTACGTGTTAGATACGCGTCGCATACACATACGCGCATATACATAGGACGCGAAATCCCGAGATTTGGATTTGTACATGTGGGTCCAGTCCGCACGCACATAGTTACCTCTGGCGTTACATGAAGCTTGAAGGCAACTTGAGGCGATATCGGAGGATCAGCGTGGCGAATAGGGTCGAAGACCGATTTGGTAGTTAGTTTGAAGAGCACAAGTACACTCAGGGGTAGTTTTTGCACCGGCGGTAACAGCGTATCCCGAGCCCTTCGCAGACAATAAGAGAGCCGTTGGTTCGAATTCCGAGTCAACAGTCGGGATTGGCAGTGATCGAACGGTATATATATAGGCAGCCTACCCCGGAAGGAAGGGCGGGCAGTGGTGCTGTGTGCTGTGTGCTGTCTTTGGATTTGTACATGTGGGTCCAGTCCGCAAATCGTTCGTTACGTCCGTATGTCCGTATCTCACCTTGAGGTAGACAGGCAACGGGCAGGCGATATTAGGATCAGCGTGGGCTCGGGTACTTGGTCGAGGGTCGAGTCAACCGACGGATTCGGTAAGTAGTTTGAAGAGCGCAGCAAGTACACTCAGGGGTAGTTTTTGCACCGGCGGTAAAGTCTATCCCGAGCCCGCGAGAATTTCGCAGGGACAATAAGTCTGAGATTAGAGTAAGAGAGCCGTTGGTTCGAATTATAATCTCGAGTCAAGTAGCGTTGGCGAGTAGGACTTCTTCCGCCTTTGTTGATAAAGTAGAGTAACGTCAAGAGACGGATTCGGTAACTAGTTTGAAGAGCACGAGCACGAGAAAGGGGTCGGTCACGGCGGTAACAGTGTATCCGGAGAGAGGACTCTGCAGAGACAATAAGATTAGAGTGGGTCGAATTTCGAATTTCGAGTCAAGTTTCATTTCGTTTCGTTTCGTTACAGTCCACTCCGGAGTTAATTGATTAATCGACCCCAAGTATACTGTACATACATACGCTACCCCGGAAGGAAGGGCGGGCGGTGGTGCTGTGTCTTGCTGTCACGGTGTGCTGTCTTTGGATTTGTACATGTGGGTCCTCGTTCGTTACGTCCGCATATCACCTTCAGGGCTTGGTTACATGAAGCTTGAGGCGATATCGGAGGATCAGCGTGTGTGTGTGTTTTTCGAGGTCAGACCCGGGGTCGGATTTGGTAGTTTGAACTTTGAAGAGCGGTCGCGAGAAAGGGGTCGACGTCGCGGCGGTAACAGTGTATCCCGAGAGAGGACTTCGCAGACAATAAGCGTGGTTCGAATTTCAAATTCCTCGAGCCCGAGTGCGAGTCGAGTTGCGTTTCGTTACAGTCCACTCGGCGCCAAGTATACATTCCTACAGCCCTGGGTATGCAGCCT